AGAGAGATTGGACATTGTTGTGTGGCATAACTACCACTACGAAAATTAAACATCAATTCTCTGGTATTTAAGACATGCTAACTTGATTCAATCATGAGGTACCTTTGATAGATGAAGGTTGGCATTGTCGATAACTCCACCCCATATTGGTGACCTGGACGTGATTTGAACACGCAGTAACGCCCACTTTGCAAAAATCTTGACAGTAACGCCCACTTCAATCTGGTAACGCCTACTGCGTTAGATGTTCCACATTGAACAGTTGACTTGCTACTTGTGGCTGCAGCATAATCAACCTCCTCACGCTGTTGCTACTCAGTCTCGTCTCGATTAAACACAACGTCTACCTGCATACACTCGACTGCTAATGGCAACACAGGAACGACTACGACTGCTAAGTTAATACACCTCTCACATTCAGCACTCAAAAGCCCGGTGACCTTAAAACCAGCTCTCCCGGTTCATCACAAGTACAGCAACTAGTGGTATCCGTTCATCGAATTCTATCCCTGATAAAATTCTGGTGGGGGAGTATAGTGGCATAATTACCACTACGAAAATTAAACATCAATTCTCTGGTATATTACACATGCTAACTTGATTCAATCATGAGGTAACTTTTGATAGATGAAGGTTGGAATTGTCGATAACTCCGCCCCCACAGTTGAATGTTGTGGGTTCTTAAGATCTTCAGAAGCAATCTTGAATGAGGGACATTCCAGTAGGAAATGATCGTTGGTGTTGACACTTCCAAGATACGGACAGTTTGAGCTTTGCGTCAGTTTCCAGTTGTGCAAGATCACATTAGTCAAAGAGATTTAGTTCTAAGCTTGGCGATTAGAACAGTAAAGTTTCGGGTCCTAACAATAAGGGAATGGTAGTCCCAGGCTCCATCAAAGTGAGGAAAGAAAAGGAAGTTTTTGCAACTCTTGCGTGCACTGAATTCTTTGTTGAGCATTTCCTTAAAGAAAGCCTGGTTAAATTCTTGAGGTCACGATAGAATTGAAATAAAATTCTGCTTTAGCTCTTCTTTTGCAAGCTGATCTACTTACTCGTTTTCTTTTATTCCAGTATAAGATGAAACCTTAACACTCCGTCGGGCGCGTCTCGAAACTTACGGCATCGGGCGCGATGTATCTGTCAGATACATCTCTGTTTTGTGTGTTTTCTGTTAATATGTATTACTTTAAATCTCCTATTTTTACTCTTTTTAGGTCCAGGCTTTTACACCCGGACCTTTTATTAGTTTTTTATGTATATTTTTAATTTTTATTTAATTTTTATATATTTTTTAATATTTTCAATAATAATTTTTATTTATTAATCACAAACGCTATTACAAAAGTTAAATGCTGTAAAAAACATTTAATTAAACATGTTAAACTGTTGAAAAAGTATAAAAAGGACAGTTATGCACAAATAATACATAATATAAAAGTGACAAATCAATTATTATAATTGAATCCGATTCTAAATTTAAGTCAAATTTTTTCTTCCGATCTGTTTTGCCCATTTAAGTATTATTGTCCTTTCCTACATAAAAATCATCATTATTAACATCATCATCGAGTTCTGAGTCATTATAAACACTTTTACTGCCATGACAATCAACTTCACGTGTTTCTAAAATATCTTCTTCGTCAGCATCACTTTCATCAAATTCTTCAGCATTTAATTCCTCATTTCCATCACTAAATAGAATACTATGAACTAGCTCTAGGTCTTTCTGATTTTTCAAATCTAAAAAGCGTTTAGCACTCATCGTAGGAAAAAGATAAATCAAAAACGCTCAGGGAATCTCGATACTTCCATGTAGCTTCACGAGACAAACGTTATCGGGCGCGTGTATCTAACAGATACAAAATTCCAAACAAGCTTGGAAACAGGAAATACTCCTACAACGAACTGGTCACTACTGCATTCCAAAGTAGCAGGGGGCCAGATGGACAGATACTGATAAGGTCAAGGTCGTAAGAAAATGTTTCAGGGGACAAAAGCAGAGATATTGACACGTCTGTATCTGTCAGATCAACGCGCCCGATGGAGTGTTAATAAATAGTACCCGACTTGCCCTCTCACTACCCGACTTGATTCAGAGAGAACAGAGACTTTTTGGTGCCTTTAGTAAGATACAGAAGAATCGAGCGGCTGTCCATTTGTAATATATAGTGGTCGTTGTTGGTAACACAATGCTTGAGAGCTAAGAAATTAGCCAAACCTTTTGCAGTAAAGATTGAAGTGCTTAAAAGAAGCAGATTTGAGATCATGTAACCTTTGATGGTAGATTTCCACGAAAATTTTGTCATATCGTTTTTATCCATCAGTATCAAGACTGGTGCAGTTTGTGGATTCTGTTTGCGAAACTTTTCAGACGAGGCTTTAACCTAGAGTTGGATTAAATTTTCAGTTTGAAAGCGCAAGTTTTTCAGGAATTGAAACATTTGAATTGAAGCGTAACATTTAATTACGTTATCATGCGAAATGTTCTTGATGATCATCCATATGTGTATGAATGGAATAAGTGGAGTCATTTTGCTTTGTAGAAGATGAGATGAAGGTGATGGAAGCAGTAAAGTTGAAAACTACTTGTCTAATTTAAAAACCACTAAACAAGATAATAATTCAATGCAGATAAGGAACAATATTAAACACTTTTCCATTCATACAATTTTTATATAATGAATAAATTAATTCAAATTTCCAAAACTTAAAATCCTTGGACTTCTTTAGGAGCACGATTCGCAAAACTTCTAAAAAAGCAACTACGTTTGTTGTGCTCTTGGAATCAGTGTTATTTCGCAATTTTGTTGGTAAGTCATATAAAGTGCAGGTAGCGCTGGCGGTTAAAATTCTTATCACCTCCAATTCACTTTTTAAGTCTAATGGAGCGTTCTCACTACATGTGATTCGCATTTGCGGTCGCCCGTGGAAACAATTCGGATATGCGCGATTAGTTCATCTTACATGTAATTGTAGGATAACAAGCTTCCTAAAACCGAAAGATATTTAAAAAAACTTTGTATCCATACGCTTATGTTATGCTTACGAGGTGATCTGTGAGCAGGGTTCATATTCCAAGAAGTTTTATTATTGTGATTGGGGTTTAAATGTGCGCGTAATTTTACCATTCATAAGAATTTTCTGCAAATTATAATTTCTAACAAATTGTGAGCCTTAAAGAAATTAATATCACAACATAAATAAATGGCAATATTTGATATGTTTTGAGTCTTATTCCTTGTTTGGCTATATTAGTGTAAAATATCACCAATTGTAAACACTACAAATGTAATAATATTGGATAGGGCGCTTTTTCAAGCTTTGATGTAAAAATCAATTAAAAGTAGTAACCCAGAAGTCTTATAACGAATTTTAACCCCTTGTGCCATCTGGGCTTAGCTTTACATGTTCAACCATTCATTAAAACAGTCGCACTCACGTCTTGAGCAATCGTATGTAGTGTTAGTGGCCCCTAAATTCAACAAAAAAATTGCAATACTAGGCGTGCTTTCTCCATTAGTGTGTAGAAAGGCTTTTTTAGCCGAGTGGTATCACCCGCCTAACACTTTGTAACGTATAGAGGTAGTGGGTTCGAATCCCACCGTAACTCTGTATCTTTGAGCTGTCCTTGCTTGAATTGTAATATCTGTCTCTCTGCTTGACAGAGGCTTATACGCCCACTTGACCTCACAAGCCTGAAATCTGTGTGGATCAATAAATTAGCGAGCGGGTAGTCATAGGAGTAGGAAATATATTAGTTACTGCCCTGATTTTCCAACCGATTAAATTGTTTGATCTTGGAAACTATATGTAGCTCAGAACTGCAGTAAACATAGTGCTAAATGTAAGCATCATGGTAATTTTTAAATACATTTTTGATTATCTAAGCGCAAAAAATTTTGTGGAAGGAGAGAAAATAGGGAGGCTCTAGCTAGACGTGGAACCAGTTCTCCCAGCAACTTCTCCCCAGATAGTGGACGCTGGTGCTGCGATTGCGAATTTACCATTTAATTTGCAAAGCCATCTAGAATCAGACAAAGAACATAAAAAGTCTCGCGATCGCAACACTCAAATACGCCATCTGGGGAGAAGACCCGTTCCATTTTTTGGCCCTCTTCCTTTCTCTCTTCTCCTCTGCTTGGTTGTAGGCGAATATGCTACAAAATTTTCCCCTTCCATAATATTTTTTGCATTTAATTGACCCTTACGTTTAATGCAGTTTTGGTAGGAATTATGTTCTGAACCACCTGTAGCCCATTGTACTTTACGTAATGATGTTTATTTCCTTTAATTGTTGTTGCAGTTCATTTACGTCGCACTAGAGCTGCACAATGGGCTTTTGGCGACGATCTGGAAAACATCCTTGAGGATAACCGAAGACATGCCATCACAATTTTGATCCTCTGCTGAGGGGATGGCATCCCGCTTCGGTAGCCCGACGCCCTACAAGCGAAGTCGAGCACTTTACGGTAGAACAGTTTAACGTGGACCAATATCGCACACCCTCGGTCCCTACGCAGACTGATCCAAGTGGTCACCCACCCGCACACTGACAGCAGCCAGTGATGCTTGACTTCGGTGATCTTTCTTTAATTCATTTACGCCTCACGACCATTTAAAATTTGTGGATTATCTTAAAAATCTTATGAATGGTAAAAATTCAAGAAAATTTAATATATTAATTACGTGTATATCAAACCTGTCTACGCATCGACACACAACTTCAAGTTCTACAAATCTGATACAATGAAAATAGTCCCTTGCTGTACTTGTGCTCCACATTTAACTAATATTTAACAATTAATTTATCTAAAACTTGCTTTTGGAAACATGTGAGCGTATTTAACTAATAGTTTTCTGACGCATAATCCTCAAAACGAATTGTCATCTTGTCCGCGTGAGCGTTACCGCATCAACGGATTCAAATCGTCATTTTTTTACTATAACGCAGCTGTAAAAAGTTAATTAGTTATTGCTAGTCTCAATATACCGTTAAAAAAATAAAAACATGCCCACCCAGTTGATTTTGTTGCATTAGCCCACGTGACGTCACGTATGATTCCTGGCGAAGACGAGAAATGGCGGAGTGTACTGTTTCTCGTTGCTCCCATGAACGTCGCGTGTTTCGAAAAGAATTACATAAATGGAGCAAAGAAATTTTGTATATATTAGGTGAGTATCATATGCATACTCACGCTTTTTCTCTATTTGAAAGGGAAAAAACAATTACTGCTTTTAAAACATATTTCGGGAGTACACATACTTCATACTTGTGTCAGTGATGATGAAAACACTTCAGAAATGAAAATAGAATACTATTTTGTTTTTCTAATATCATTCCTGTAAATTTGATAAATAGAACGGAAAAGACGTCTTGATATTTTTTTTCTTCTGATCGCAACCCCCCCCCCCAAAAAAAAAGAAGCAAAGTAAATTATAACAAAAGGAAAAGAAAAAAACATTTTTTTTTACCATAATTTTATATCTTATTACCTTCAATCATGTCACTTGCAGTTTTTTCTTTGTCTCCTCTCGTAAACACACAATTCTACCAGAGAACTTAAATGTGAAACATTCTAAAATATGAAATCAAAATTTAGCGAAACTTTCGTTCGTTTCCGTGAGGAAGATAAATTTATTTCCATGACTGATTTTCAATTCTTCTGTTTCTGGAGTTTAATGTTTATTTTTTAGTTTCATACTTAGAAACAATATTTGGTATTTACTTCTCATTGACTTATAATAATTAAGTTGATTTACAACATAAACCTTTTTTCCAAGGAATATTTTATTAACATTCTAAACTGTTTAAATCTGAAACATGTTTCCTTAATTCTGTTGAACAATAAGCTTCTCTTTTTACTTATTTCTATTAAATATTTTAATTTCGCATTATAATTTTTTTCCTAGAAATATGTCCTTAACATTATAATTAGTGAAAGCTGGAGTTTTTTAAATCACATTTTCTTTTAATATAGTTTTTTAACCTAGTCACTGGTTTAACTTGTTTGTGAACTCTAAAAACATTTCTCTTTGAGAAATGTAACTTAAGCAGAATTGGGATTGAATTTCTGAATAAAGACAGATACATATATTTGATTCTAAACAGTTTGTTAGATGTGTATATTTGTATGCATCAAAAATAAATAAAGTGGGACTTGTCCAATGGCATTTGCTATGTACTCGACTTTGAACTGGATATCCGGCGACAGTATTTTTCTTCTTCTTTCTTTTAGCATTAATAGTGTGATACTAAACTAATAGTTTCTTTCTGTTCAGATTTATATCCATTTCTTTAAAATAATAAAACAAATTTACTTTAAATTTTCAAACAACTACAACTATTGCATAAAAATATTTAATTATTATTACCTTAGAATAAAACCAGGGATAGCATATTTGAAATTGATAGTTGATAAGAAGCAAACATTCATTGAAGGTTAAAAAGAAAAAAATATTTACAATTATTCGAAATGAGAAATTAAGGGTTAAAATTTTTAGTAGTTAACACTACAAATAAATTTTTATGATTTTAACAAAACTGTTTATAAATCTGCCTTTTTAGTTTTTTTTTTTTTTTTTTTTGGTTTCTCAGTCATTGCCCAAAATGCATCATAATTTATCTTGCGGAAAAAATCCTATTTTATCGAAACTCGTAAAAAAATGTATATAACTTTTCTCATACTGTAAGTAGCATTGATAGTGAGAGGCTGTTCTCTGAAGCAAACATTATCTATAAACAAAAAAAAAACAGAAGTCTGCCAAAAAATCCTTGCTATTTTTGCATTGTGATTTATTAATTTTGAAAAATGTCAAAATTTTTATTTAAACAGATTTTCTGTGTCTTTTTTTTTAAATTGTTATAAATTAAAGTTTAATTTATTTAAAACATTTTAATTTTCAAGTCAGTTTATATTTTTATCACAGAAGAACATTAATAATGATAAACATAATTACATATATATAATTGATTTAGATTATTAAAATTTGATTATTATTAGACTCGTAAGAAGTCTAATTTTTAAATATCATCTATGCAAGATTTGCAAAACAATATACAAAAATCTATTGTTATTCAAATAAATTTGATGTTTGTCACATTTAATATCAATATATATATATTGATAACTAACTGATATTGATTATCTAAAACAATTTCTTAAGTACCATTATTTTATGTCAATGTTTGTGTGATAACATAGATATCAACCATGCTGACTTTTTTGTTAAAATTAAATTAGAAAAATATTTAATGAAATTATAATTATTTATTAGTTGATAAATTTTTATTTGGTAAGATTTCTGACTTTTATAATTGAGCATTGGTATATCTGTGAACAAGTAATTGTACCTATACTATAAATACAGCAATATTATTATCAATATAATATAACTTTTAAAACAACATAAACATTCATATCTGTGGCAGATTTCATAGTTGTTATAGGGTGGCCCAAGATAATTTCATTGTTTTGTTTACTTAACAGTTCGTAAGGACCACCCACCATATTAAATATCCTGTATCATTTCTAAACAATCTTTTTTTTTGTAATTTACATGTAATCAAATTGTTCTGAAGGATCATTTTGTTTATATCATTCCAAAGAATTAAGGCTCCTGTACAATTGCTTTTTTCTATATTGCATTTTGTTACACCTGTATTCTCCATTTTGTGCCAATGCATGGCTATCACGTAATGGCTTCTTCACTGTTTTGCTTGCTCCCCTAATATTTTTAGCAGTGTAATTTGTAAGTTTGTTTCTTTCTTTTTATAAAATTTTATGACTTCTTTCTTTTGTTTTTTTTTATAAAATTTTATGAATATAGGGTAAACTAACCAGTGAAGGAACACTTAAGCTTAGCTTGTCTTTTAAACAAAAACTAAAAATTTCAAAATTTGTAATTTTAGTTAAATGACAGTGTTAACATATTTGTTATTCAATTCAAATTATGTAAAGCAAAATTAGGGAACTTACATAATATTGCTTTAAGCTTATGGTAGTTCAAATTATAAGTAGTAAGATAACCAAGTGAAGGAACAGTTTTTATCAGTGAATGAACACAAAATTTTCCAGTTAAGGAACACTTAATTTTGTGACTTTTTAATACTTTTTATGAATTCATAAGCCATACAAATGTCTTGATATAAGACTTTTCATGAAATTATAACATATAACCACAATTAACGTAGAAAATGTTACTTTTCTTTACTGATTTTTTGTTCGAAATTTCACTTTTTTTTTTCATGAAATAGAAAGTAAAAGTGGGATTAAATACAGAATAAATTTTTTGTTTCATTTTCTTTCTCACACTTTGGTAGTTGATTTTGAATCATGAATGTTTATTTATCATTGTGTTATCCAATGATGTTTTTATTATTATTATTTCATTACTTTTTCGAATTCCTCACTGGATAATACGTGAGGGAAAGGAGTTTCGAAGTTTGAGGAAAATCTATCTCTTGTTGACTTACGTCTAGTGGGTCTTCAGCAGTACTTACTATTTTCTGACTTTAATTACTTATAGAATCAATTCTTTTTTAAACTTACAATGCCTCAAGAAAACTTATCTCAAAATCAGTTTTCAAGATATATTCATTATCATTGTTAGTTGTTTCAGCTTCAGTGTCTAAGCTTGACTCATCCAAATGTTCTTCTTACAATAATCTTTTCCATATTGAGAAAAGCACAGGCTATTGGATATTTGGGACTTATCTGTCAATGTTTCTTTAAAAATTTAAAAAACTTATCTGGAGAGATTTCATTCTCAAGCTTCTGAAGAAATTGTGCATCATTACTCTTGAAGTATGTGTTTTGTTGATAAGCTTTCTTGCTCATTATCTCTTTGTATCTGCCTTACACGCATTTGTTAAAGTCAACGTTTTCAACATCAAATAGAAAAATACCACATTTCTTTAAAAGCATTTTAAGTGTTAACTTCTTTAATTGATACCTCAAAAGCTTATTCAAAAATGGGTGTAAAATTCCCTCTCATATTGTTTTAAAATTCTTTTGTTTTCAAGGTCTTACAGAAGATTTCCATGAAGCTTTCAAAGCTCGAAATAGACTTACCTACATCAAAAGGCTGGAGTACATTAGTAGAATTAGGTAGAAAGCTAAACCAGAGAATTTGTTTTGATGAACAAAACTTGCTCAACACTTGAACAAACTTTTCAAATTGATATGAGATTTATGCCCTTCCAGAAAAGCGCAAAGTAGGGAATTTCATAGTGTTTTCAATTAGCCATGGGTTGAAGCATTTGCAATATATTTATAAAATGTTGCTGCGGTCATCAAACATCTTAAATTGATATGAGATTTATACCCATCCAGAAAAGCTCAAAGTAGGGAATTTCATAGTGATTTCAATTAGCCATGGGTAGAAGCATTTGCAATATATTTATAAAATGTTGCTGCGGTCATCGAATCACTTCATGAATCACTTTTTTCAATGAAATATATAGCAGGAACTGATTCTGCAGTACCTCGAGGAATTCTTCCGTAAGGAAAAAGTACCATTTGAGGCACTTTTTTTCCACTAGCTGAAATGTTGACCAAAAGTGTTGTTCTTTCTTTTTCTTTCCTAAGAACTATAGATTATAAATCCTTATAATTTTTAGGGCCTAAGATATTTCTTGTTTAAGGGGAGTATTCAACTCCTGTTTCGTCTGCATTGTAGATCCAATCACTTTCTGAAAGAATGCCCTGACTTCTTTCCTCCACAAGTTTTCTCCAAAGTTCTTGAAACCACTCTCGAATATTATTCTCTGTAAGGGAAGCTTTGTCTTTTGAAATTATCTTCGCATTGCTCTGAGTTATCATTGGATATCGTCACCTATTTTTCACCTGGATGATTGTCTTTAAATGGATTTTTCCTTCTCGTTTCCGTCATGATGTTAAAGACCGCATTGGGATAATAATTTAGCTAATTATTGGCTCAAAAGCCAGCAAAGAAATGTTCTATTTAATTTTTTATTATATTTATTTAGTTTTCGATTAGTAATTATAGTTAATTAAGCTGTCTAACGTATGATGTAACTAACCATTACATTTATAAAGATGAATTATAATCGTAATTCTTTTTATAAATTTAGTAGTTAAATTAGCATATTGAAATGAAATTATTTTAGGAATCAGTTATACAACATTTAACAGAAATTTAGGTGTTCTCTA